GATGTAAAAATAAAATAATAAAAATTAAAAAATACTAAGACTTAGGATTACTTGTGTGACTTAGCTTTTAGAACAAGTCATATGAATATAGTCATAAAAGCTACATCATAATATTAGTTGAATCATCTTACCTTTGGGGAAAATAAGGAGACCTTTATGTATACGTGATTCTGTGCGTATGGAGAAAGTAGAGCAGGATACTACCTCAGCTAAGGGAATATGTTGCCTCAAAGGTAGTGTTGGACTAGAGAAGGAGACATGAACATTCTGGATAGTCTGACTTGTTCTCCTAAGCACATATTGACATTGTGATTTTTCAACACAAAGTGAAAAAAATTTGAGAGAATTTGTTTGAGGTATAAGCAGACACATTATAATCTAGTTTCTGTCACTTAGTTGTGAGAGGTTTGGTCAGTTCCTGTGCCTCAGTCTTCATCTGTAATATATCTACCTCACGGTGTTTGACTCAAGGAAATAAAGTACACAAAGCATGTAGCACATTATAATCCTTCTGTAAGTGTTAGGTTTTGGTTTTCCCCCCTTCTGCACAAGCAATTTGGACTAGACTATTAAAACACATGCAAAACGTGTCAGCTGTGCTACTGGGATGTGTTATCCTGATGTTCTCAGCTAGGCCTACCAAGGAGACAGATTAGGTCTCTCCGGAAAAAATATCCAGGAGATAATCTCTATTTCCCCCTCCTTAATCCATCCAGAGACAAAATAAGAATAAGATACAATACCACCTTGGCCCTTTGGGGGTTACTTAAATGGGACCACAGTTATTAGTAACCCAGAACAGAGGTACAAAGGAAGGAAGAGGGCCTCTGAATGAATAGCCAAAACAGATGTCCAAGGTTCAAGCTCTTGCAGGATCATATGTTCTTATTTTACACAACCGAAACACGCTTAGAGCTATTGCCCACTAGTCCATCCATCTGAAGGGGAAAAGGCTGGTGCCTGATTTTAATGCCTCATAAGTTACATAGTCCCCTTGACATGCCAGCTGTCATGCCATCAGCCACATAAGCCTATTTAGTATTTATATTTAAAGGAATTGTTGAATACTATAGAATAGGCCCCCAATGTTAACTTACTTTACCTACTAACAAAAATAGTCACAAAGAATTAACTTATAGGCTCTGGAGAGGGGTGTCCTCTCTTCCAAGCCACCCTGGATCCCTGTGGTGTACCAAACAATAATAGTCTGTGTCCCACATGTCAGGGTTCTGCCGTCCTGAGATCCAGGTGCTTTGTTTACCTGAATCTGTTATCCACAATAAACATGATAGACCTGGTTAGCAACAAAGTTTGAAACACAGCAATGAGAAATAGATATGCATTGGAGCCAATATTTGAGGACTAAAAATTTCAAAATGAAGATGAGCTGATTAAGGGGAGGTCCATGGGCATGTATATTTTTACATAGGATTTCTGGTAGCCTTATTCACTTTGGCAGATCATACCTCATGTTAAAATACTGCCCTTAGGGTTCTCCCTGCTGGTGCAAGGGGTTGAAGTCCAGCACTGCCAGGTTGTCCTCAGCCAGGGAGGTGACCCACATGGTACAGCAGACCTCTCCTGACCCACCCACTGCTTCCCTCGGCAGTGTACTTCAGTCATTCTGCCTTTTATGTGCCCTGCTCTGTCTCTGGTGGATCTTCTCACCCTCTTCACCTCTGGTCTATACCCCAGTTCTTGTATATATAAATAAATCTTTAAAAATAGATTTTTCTTAAAAGAGATGGTCTCCAAATGAAAACTTTAGATATACAGATCTATAGTGACAACATTGTTCACCCATGCAATACTGTAAGTACCATCTGGGTTGAACTCAGGTATGGATGGGTTCACAAGCATGTCAGCTCCCAAACAGGTGGCCCTTCTCAGGGCTCTTTATAGAAGTAGCACCACATAGCAAAATTCACTACCTCTTCAGTCACCTCTTCTACCAGGCAAAACCTGCGAAGGATAGTGCTGTTCCTCTCCCCTCAGCTGTTGCAGCTGAGCAAAGGGGAGGCATCCTAATTGTCCCCGTTTCAAGTGAGAACATGAGTCAGGAGAATGTTGAATGTGTTCTCTGTGCATGGTCCTGGGGACGGTGCTGTAAGGGACCGAGTAGCAGCAGGGAGTTGAAGAAGCAACACAGATATATGGAGCCGGTCTAAAGGAACACTGAGTCCAGGGGGGCAGAGAAGGGAAGGGAGTTTTTTCTGCAGTTCCTTGCATCTACGATGCCACCGATTGGAAGAAGGTCTGCATCACTGAGAGAGAACAAACGCCTGTTATATCATTAACCACAATGCTACCCCAGCTGTAAGATGCACATGGCAATCAGAGGTGTGGACATGAGAATGTGTATCTTAAACTAGTGGTACACAGTCATTTCAGTGAAGGAAATGGAAACAAATGTACCAAATTCATAATATCCAGCAGGGAAAGCAGATTGGAGGAAAGGTGCCGATAAATCTTTAGTCCATGTAATGCTGGAATGTTAAGACATATTACAGGTTCAGTTTACTCCCAAACATTCCTCTAATTGGCCAGTAGAAAGTCAGCTGTGACAGTCAGTAGGGCCCCCTGTACATGGGTCCTTAGAATCATTCAAGATCCAGTATATGATGCAGGAGCCAGAGGAGGCCTGGGTCAGAGTTCAAGGTGATTGATACTCCCTGCTACTGCAACCCAGGGAGACTGCTGAGGTGGAAGGTCCTCCCAGATGCCACTCCAGACCCCACAAAACTAGAGCCCCCAACCCCCACCCCTGTAGGCCCCTGGAATGCTGTGCTGTGGCTTGCAAGATTATATTGCATGCGAGTAGCCTCTGCTAGCATCCCACAGCAAAAGCAATGTACAGGCAGTAGAAATTGTACTTCAGGTGAACTGTCCTAAGCTAGAATATGCGGGGCTGACGATCTGGTGATGTGGCCAGCACAGTGAGCCTCCGCTCCCCATCAGCCACATCACCATGGTAAACACAGTGGTTCACTACAGTGCCCAGAGCTGCCAGCTATTTTGACTTAACAGTATTTTCAACTTACCTATCATAGGTCAAGGATAGGCCCCCTGGTGGCACTGTGAAGCTAGCCACAGCTGTTTGAGCACAAGTTCAATCGCCGACCAGGGAGCTGACCCACATGGCGCAGCAGACCCGTCCTGTCTCACCCAGTGCTCCCCTCAGCAGTGTACTTTGTCAATCTGCTTGTTCTGCTCCCCACTTCGTCTCTGAATCCTGTCATCACCCCTGCATCTCTGGCCTGTACCCCAATTCTGAGTGCATAAATAAATAAATCCTTTAAAAAATAAGTCCAGGACAATATACTTTCAGTGGGACCTGAGCCTCTGTAAATGAAAGCCTTTCATTCCTATCCCTACGTGTAATCTCAGGCGCTCACTGGGTCCAATCTTTATACTTATAGGACTCACCTCCTGTGAGGCTAGAGGAAATGCTGTTTGTCTGCTGGAAGCCAAGAGGCACAGAGAGAGCCAAACCCAAACCAGCTTATGCTAAGAGACCTTACCTCACACAAGGTAATAAATAGTCCAAGGGTAGCACTTGATCGAGGTCTTGCGTTGTATCCCATGTATCCCTCAGTAAGGCCATCTCTGCTGCTGACTTCACTCCTGAGCTCTGGAGGCATCTGAATGACCTCTGAAGCAGGCACCCTCATGGCTGCACTTACAGGTTCAGCTGTTCTTGATTGCAGTCAGGTGGAATAAGTCAGTGGCTCCCTAAAATCTCACATGCATCTTGTTGTCTTTGATTGGGTGAAAGCTTGCTG